AGCTGCTAACTTTAATATTTCGTAGGAACGTTTTTTGCTAGGTCGCATCTCTCCCTGACCAAGATTTTGTACATTTACAATTACTGGGTAGTGAAACAGCTGGTGAGAGCCGCTGCTGCCGAGACCGAGAACAGCCTCGTCTTAACAGTTCAGTGGTACCAGCACTGCACAGACATCGCCTCATGGAAAATGGAGAGAATTACTTCGTTGTTAGGCGGGGATGACGTAGTAGTGCATGTGGATGAGACAGTGTTGGTGAAGAAGAAATATAACCGTGGTCGTCAGAGAGCGAACAATATTTGGGTCATAGGTTTGTACGACACGTCCCTCCGAAAAGGATTTGTTGAAAGAATAGCAGACAGGAAAGCGACTACTCTGATACTTATTATAATGCGACTTGTGAAACGGGGATCAATTGTACATATCGACGAGTGGAAAGGTTACAATTCATTGTCATCCCTCGGATACATTCATCACAGAGTGAACCACTCCAATGATTTCGTGGATCCAGTTACAGGGACTCATACAAATTCCATTGAAGGATTTTGGGGTCGATTGAAAAGTTGGATACGGGCTACAAATGGATCTCAAAAGGATCTCATTTAAAGCCATTTAGATGAATATATGTATAGAATGTGATGCGACTTCTCTATTGACAGTCCCATGCTGAATTGGGAAATTTTTCTGTCCCATGTTCGCGAAAGATACCCATTGTAACCGTTTTATCATTTTTTTATGCATTTTTCTATAAATATACGTTTCCACTTATCATAAACGCCTCTTTCATGTGATTGGTCCGTTCAAGGTCGTTTGCTGATTGGTTGTTATTGGTGTCGAAAGTTTAACTTTGCCATGAAGTCGTTGGAAAGAGTCACTTTGTTGAATCCCTTGTTTTGACCTTCTATATGTTCCACTGGAAATTTGTCATGAACTTATTAAATGTAACCTAAATGTTTGTACTCATATATTTGTTAAAGAATAGCAAGGAACTGAAAAGGGAACATCCATTTTCCCAAAATGAATCCAGGATCCTGAGGATCCCCATGAAATTCAGATCAAACGTCAGCTATTACACAAATATCACATGCGTTATCCACTAAACAACTAAGTTATAACCATGCCTTTTTCAAATAGACGCCAGATCAATGTTGAAAATTACTGCCCACCCTGATGTTGTTTATAGAATTAAGTTTCTGTAGCAGGCTGCAAACCAGCCTGCAACCAACACAGCAGGTTGACAGAAGAAGTAGCAAAGACAGAACTTGAAGTGAACATAGAGAAGACGGAGGTGATGAAAATAACCAACCAACCAACAACAACACCAAGCACCAATCACTATCAATGGAATAAATTTAAAAGAGGTCACTTCCTTCACTTATCTCACCAGGAAACATCATTCCAACTACAGGGATTCCACACGCATGAAGATATCAAAGTCAGGTGGGATCAGAAGAGCAAGACAGACCTTCATCGCCCTGAAATCAGTTTGGAAATCTTCTGAAATCAGCCAGCATAAACAAAAAACAAAATTCGGATTCTGTTCCACACCAATGTTAAGTCATTCAGTAACTTCTTCTACGTGGATCAGAAATTTGGCGCGCTTGTCACGGAAAGTATTACTAACACAGGCTACTGCGGGCTTTTGTCAACAGCTGGCTCTATATGGAATATCAAACGGCTGACTAGAAACAATTAGCAACAGGAAACTATGTTAGTGAACGAACCAACCAAGAACGTATTGCTCAATAAATATGCAGAGGCGAATGGAGATGGATTGGACACACTCCCCTGAGGATATCATAGAATTAAATCGCTCAACAGGCTATTGCTCAAGTGGGAGGTGAATGGGAAACAACGAGCTGGGTGTGAGTCCGAAGCTCTCATGGAGGAAATCGTGCGAGGAGATGATGAGCGGTATTGGGGATTCATGGGGCCAGGTGAAGAGAATTGGAGAGAATAGGAGATGTGCTGTTCAAGCCCTAAGTTCCACTAGGAACCCGACAGAATACTAATAATCAGTAATAATGTTATATCAAATAAAACTATTTCACTACGGAGTTATACACTACCACAATGCCGAAACTGTATTCTTGGATCAATATATAACAGAAGGTGGTTATAACTTCAATCAAATTAAAAAACTGAACTATTTAAACAAGCAACAAAGAAGAATGAATTTAAACAAACCTGAGCTTTAAAGTTTGTTGGATCTTGATCAGTAAGTCTTTCTAAATCTTTTTCAGCCTCTCCTAGATTATGTAATTCATAATTTGCTTGTCCACGTCTAAATAAAGCTGATTAATAAAGATAGAGAAACTTGTGAAAATTGATATATATATATATATATATATATATATATATATACATGTTAGCTTACAGCAACAATACATCGAATGACTTAACATTGCTTAAGATTAATCACCATCTATTTCGCTTAAACTATGGCATATGTACTACTTACAAATAGGTATAAGTAGTACATCGAGTTATATGTTCAAAGAAGCAGTGATGATTTATGTGATGAACAAAACAGACAATAAAGGAGTAATGCAAGAAGAAATAAAACACTCAAAATAACCCACTAAGAAAGAAACAGTGGAGGTTTTATTTTCAAATTGTAACATGAGTGTATGATTTAAAAATTCCTTGATATCCATTGTATTTTTCTACCTAATAAGCATTGCTTCTACTCTCACTAGTTTAGTTCACTTGAAAACTGGTAATTACAGTAGAATATTATGAATTTTACAACCGAACCTGCATTAACTGTCTGTGTGTCAACTATAATGCTATTGCTGATGGATGTTTTTACAGATACCATGCTTTAAACGGAATATGATATCATTAGAAGCAGAAGATAAGAAAGTTGAAATAACCCAAATATAATACTGTCTTAATACTCTTAAATCTTTGCTAAATGACTGATCTATCTTGTCGAAATTCGTAAAAATTGTCTTCACAATCGTTATTTTCAAAATAGTTTTTAAGTTGCATATACAAAATGACTAAATCAAATAACAAACATTTCGAATATCAGAGTAACGTGCTAACAAATTGAACATTCCCCGTACTATCCACGTAGTACCTGCTAGTTAAGATACAAACAATTTTCTGTTTTTGGTAGTAAGTAATCCTGTCTGATATTTCAACTTTAAAACAAGCTGAGGATAGTATTAACAAATAAGTACCTACTATTAACAGTTATTTCTAACTGAAAGCTTCTACTGTCTTAGTCAATAACAAAATTTTATGAAAACATCTGTATATATTTACATAGAATATGACTGTGGTCAGGAAACAGACGCCTAATAACTTACAAGTAATAACAATATAAGCATCTATGGTTCAGTGGTAGAATGACTGCCAACCACGTATCACGTGGTTTAGGGTTCGAGCCCCCGGGCCACGCACCCCTAAACATCACTAAGCAGGTAGCAAGGCTGGTGAAGAGAGAAGGTTAAGTGTGAGGCTAGCAACTTCACGTAAAAATTCAACTCTTGCTACCGAAGCTTCAAAGCTAAAGCCTGAAGCTCCATCTTCCACACTGAACCTGAAGGAATAAAAAATGACAGTATACGGGGAAGCCTTCAAAAGAATTGAACAAACGAAATCCAAAAATCTGTATGAAAGGTCAACAGACGGGTATAATAAAAAGACCACTACAAAAGAAAAGAGAACTACAAGGTCCTAACATGAAAATTTTGAAGAATCAACTCAATACGCTGATAATTCAAGTGTTGGTTTGTAGAGATCTGATCGGTTTTAGGATCTCATCATGAACTGACATTGGTTAGAGAAATATTGGAAAATCTGGGAGTACTGGACAGCTGTTTCGTCAGCCTAATTTGGAACTCTTCATCAGTGTACACCCACTGAGGTTAGAATGCAAGACCTTCTGATTACAAGGCGAGCTCGTAGACTACTAAGCCACCGGGACCCCAACCAATGGCCCATGGATTCCAACTTCTGCCAGCTGACGATATGGCGCGACCGCTAGCGAATATGATCACTGACGAGTATTTGTCCTGACACCCCACCTGTTGTACCCCACTGGTCACAACTTCTCAACAGAACCCACGTAAATACCTACCTGAATAGGGCCAGTCACGAGTGACCAACAGGTTGATATTCAAGTGTTGGCTTCTAGGGATTTGATTGGTTTTAGGACTTCATCTTAATTATTATTTCATCATTCATAATTATTCGAAATTATTAAAATAACACTAATGCATCATACCTTTTAAATTATCCGGTTCAGATTTCAACACTTTTGTACAGTCATTCACTGCTAGATTCCATTGTTTCTGTCGTAAGTCTATTAATAAATAAACAAAAAAAAATAACGTATTAACTACTCATCAAATCGTCTAGTTAGTATTAAATATAAAACTCTGAAAATCTGAGTGAGTATGCTCACAGAAATAAATTAAGATTTCCTATAATGTACAGCATATTTCTATCCTGTTGACGAACGCCTTTGGTGGTATGTGAAAGAAACCATGCAGAGATTATACATCTGAGAGTGTTGTACTTAAGAGATATATATGTTACAGTTAGTGTGAGTGAAATGTGTGTGTGTGTGTCACCGTGTCTCCAAATGTAGTCTGAAGTGAAATGAAGCTAACTGAACACATGATCTAAGAAACGGATCTCAAATACACAAATTACTTCCTTCTGTGGTTAGATCATTTAGATCTGGTTAGTGAGTATTAGTAATTAGCACAAGAGGTTTATATCTCACTAATATTTCTCAGTACTTTGTACTGGCATACTCATAATTTCAAGAGCAAATGATATTTTATAGAGAGCGTTAAGAGGAGTTAATTGGGTGATCCGGGGTTTGAGTCTCAGAAGGCACATGAGTCCTTTTCAATGGCTGCAGACACACCTTCTTGGAGAATGCCAACAAGAATGAAACCTAGGTCAGATAGGATTTCCTGTTGATTGCTTCCAACCATCTAACAACGGAAACAATAAATAAAGTAGAGGAATTGTAGTTACCGTCTACATTCAATTACCAGAGGACTTTCTGTATAGAATACAACATCACTGAAAGATGAAGTACCTAGACTAGCTAGCCACTTCTAATTGTATCTACCAATTCAACTGTGCTTGTTGTGGAGCGAGTTATATTGGGTGTTGCTCTAGGAACTTGATTTTTCGTGCTCGAGAACATCTCCCACTATGGCTAAGTAAAGGTGTATTCAAAACCATTAACAATTCTATATTGGACCATCTGGTGAATACCAGCCGGCCACAAAGCCAGCGTGAAAGAATCCTTCTCTATCATCTCCCGAGTACCAAATAAATTCCCAAAATCATCGAAGCATCCCATGATCCAAACAGCAGCGGCTATTGCAATTCGCCTCAAACAACCAGTGCTCTGTGTTCAAAAGAAGCAAGTCCAGCCACTACTACTGCCCTGGTCGGCCTTCAGTAGAGACTAGAAATTCATGAATTTGTAATATTATCTTTCCTAATTTCTCTGACATTCAGTTTATTGTTATGTTGATGCTATTGAACTGTAATCCACAGATATTATTATTGATTCGATGTTATTTAAACAACATTAATGTTGTTCATAACACTAATTCATTCATTCACTATAATGTATAGACTACTGTAGAGCCTGATGAAGAAGGGGTTATCGAAAAGAGTACTCTTTGTTCAGTATCCATTCTTTTGGAAATTATAAGAACCAAAAAAGTATTTCTGGGTAGTGCTGATTGAAATCTATTTAAGTGGGGCAAATATATACAAATATTTTCCCCTCTTCTTTCACACACTAGGTTAATAGTTCAAACAAAATGATCCGAAAAGCTTCCCAGATAAATCGTTCTTTAAACAACAGTTGTAATGTCACGAATTTTCTCCAGTGGAATTCAGCTATCTAGAACTGGTATCTCATATACCAGCGCCTGTGGACCACACTTATTTGCATGATCTCTGATGATACTACAACCCAGTTGCTGAGTTTGATGAATTAAGTTTGGAGGGATTGGAGCTCACGATCCAATGAATGAGTGTTGATTGGTCAGCAATATCTCCAGCACGAGAAACAAATAATCACAGAGCAATCGTGGTTCGTTTCCTGGTCCTGGTTCTCATCAGTATTTCCATCTATGTCACCTGTAATTAAAACAATGCTTCCCAACCAGGTAATTAAAAGAGGTAACTTCCTCTAGACTTCTTCCACTGATCATGATTGGTGTTTGTCATTAATCGGGTATCATTATTAACCTGTAGTCCTGCCTTTCTGCCTCTTCTGCAAAACCTTTTGATTTCTGAGTTCATAGGACCTGAGTCATAAATCACCCAGGAAGTTCATACATTTAAGGGCCTTTTTGTTAGTCCAGCGTATGCCCATCTCTGCTCACTACCACCCACAGTCTGCCGTACGACCCAATCCACCACAGCCAAGAAGATCATTGGTGATACTGGGCAGCCTTATCTCACTCTTGTCTTTCCTCCACACGCTTTAGTCAGCTTTCCAGTGTAAATCATTTAGTATGTGACATCATCAACACTATCACCATATAACTGTTGAATGGGGTTTGTCAATGTTTACGGTAATTACCTCAAAAAATCGATAATCACTACTCTACTAGGTTAAGTTTACGTCCAGCAATAGTGTTTACAGAATATTGTGTTTATTTGTAAAGTTTCAAATTTCCCTGACATATTTATTATTTATTGCTTGAAACAAACAATTATATATACATCCAAAAGCACGCACACAAACAGATAACTTACACACTAATGCTCGATTATTGTATACAGCACTTGTTTCATAGATGATAAGACTACGTTTGTAATAGTTCAATGCTTCAACAAAATCACCTGATTTAAAGCACTAAATTAAAAACAATGAATAACGAAACGAAACCATTTAATACATATATATATATACAAACGGAAACAAGAGTATTAAACATTGAACATAACAAATAGTACAGTTAGTTAAGAATCACGTGTGTTTAAATTGATTATAATTAACCGCGGGAAAAATAAAGAAGCCCTTTGTGAAACATATACATATTTATTATAACTTGAAATTTTACTTTAAGTCGTCTATTACATATTAACAGTTGATCTAATATTGAATTCATTATCTTGAATGAAGTCTGATAATTAGAATTCAACCATTAACAGTCAGGTGTTCCATTTATGATTTGAAAGGAATTGAATTTTGCGTCAACTTAATGAGTACACTTAATTCGACATATATGTATATACATGCATAGGTAAAAATATGTTTTGCAAATGAATATAGTCGTAAATATATTCCATGAGCTTATCCTGTGAAGATGAGGTACTCTTTTGAGTCATAACTTCAGTAGATCTTTGACGAACATTCTTTCTTTGACTTTTATTTTGAAAATCGATTACAGAATAGGGGTGTTTTTTTACACCATAATACGTTATGAACAAAATCTCAGCTATGCTACCATCGAAACCACGCCAAACTAGTCGTTTCCCAGGTTGGTTTCGTGTGATGGCCTGCATTAAGCGTGACGTCATTTGACGGTGTCCTCAGTGGGGTGTGTTTCATCCATTCCCATTTCCTTCGGGATATTTGTTGAGCAGTAGGTTCTTGGACGCTCCCTACCCAGAGTCCCCTGTTGCTAATTCCTTTTAGCTGACCACCTGATCTCCTATATAGAGCCAGAGAATAATAATAATAATTGCTTTATTCCAAAACAGTACATGTGTCAGCAGTTGATAAAAGTCTGCAGTGACCTGTTTGAAATGCTTTCCGTGGCGAGTTGACTAAGTTTTAGACTCATATAGAAGAATTGACTGACTAACTGACTGACTTAACATTGGTGTTGTTTATACTGAGGCGGAGTGTAGAAGATATTCCAACTGATTTCAGAGGGATGAAGATTCGTCTCGCAATTTCGAATCTGGATTTAACATCATCATCTGTGATGTCGTCTGTAGTTGGAACGATGCTTCCTAGATAAGTGAACGAGGTGACCTAATTCAAATTTACTCCGTTGATAGTGACTGGTTCTTGTTATTGTTGGCTGGTTATCTTCATCACATCCATCTTCTATATGCTCATTTGAAGTTCTGTCTTTGCTGCCTCCCTCTTGGCAAAACTTTTTGGTCTTCGCCTGTTTGTATGACATTATGCATAGATCGTCGGCGAAGCTCAACTCTTCTACAGTCTTACTGTCGGTTAAATGCATTCCTGTCCGTACTAACAGTGTTCCACAGAATCCAGTCCACCACAGTTAGGAATAGTGTTGATGATAGTAGACAGCTTGTTTCACTTCTGTCTTCACTGCAAATGCTTTGATGAATTTTCAGTTGCCGATCAGTTAACACACACCTTTGTCATTGAGCGCTACTTACAAATACATTAAATTATTATTTATAAAGTAACTTCTTTAAAAAGTAATAATTTCTTTGTAAATGGAAAATTTGTCATAGAATAAAATCATCAAAAGAGGAATCCGATTCTAAGAAGTGAAAAGGAGACAAACATGGTCCTTGTAGAAATCCTCAAAGAATGTTTACTAATGTATACCATGAATGCGAATTCCAACTTAGACAGTGAGCTCTGTAGACAAGTGGATACAGTAGCAATGGGCTGTCGATTCGGTCCCATGTTAACAGATTTCTTTCTGAATGAACTGCAAAATGGTCCTATAAAGATGACCTTATCAGAAAATTGTCATTTTATTATCAGTATATGAATGATACCTTCATTCTTTGTGAAAATGATTTCGACAGGAATGCAATAGTATCTCAATTCTCAATGAAGTATATTCAGCTAACAAATTCACATGTGAAGAAGAATTTCAAAATTGAATTGCCTTTTTAGACATCCTACTGGCAAGAAGACCAGAGGGTAGTATAAGAAACATACTTGGAACGGTCAATAAACACATTTTCACTGTTTTGTTCCTCTCCAGTATAAAAGAAATTTGTTAAAGACCCTTAGCTGTAGCGTTGGAGCTATTTGTTCAGAAGATGCGATTGAAGACGAACTTAAAGTTGTATACGACACGTTAATTGAAAACAGCTACCCTGAAACCTTCATCACGAAACACATGGATAAGAAAGTATAAAAGAATTATTCTCTACCTGTTAACAAGAAGCCTCTATATATATACGACTTCAATTCAAAGGGGATATATAAAGTGAAATAACAACCAACAAGTTAAGAGAATCGATTCAAAGAATGTTTAGTGCTAGTAAGCTGCAGTTTATGTTCGCTACACTACCGCGTGTGTTTCCCAAATTGAAAGATGAAGTACCTGACCACCCCTAATTGTGTTTATCAATTCGACAGCTCCAGTGAATCCAGTTTTACCGGGCATCAGTTGCTCTAGGAACCTAATTTTCCGTGCTCCCTAGGGAACACCTACCAGTGTGATTAAAGAAATCTGTTGTCAAAACCGTCAACAATTCCAAACACTCCACCAAGCTAACACTAAAGAATCTTTCTCTACCATCTGACAGGTATCGAATAAATTACCAAAGGCATCTAGATACCGAACACGCCAAAGAACAGTGACAATTGTAATTCGCCTAAAACAATCGGATCTCTGTATACAGAAAAAAAGCAGGTCCGGCCAACCACTATTGCTACCCTGGCCTTCTGTTGAGCTCACGAATTTTGCATTCATTGCCCTAATTTATTTGATATTCAATCACTTTGATGTTACAATAATGTATATTATCTACCACTTAATGATAGCTTTGAAATGTAATCTATCGATATTATTAATTTCACGTAATTTAAACAATATTAACGTTTACAAAACATTTAGCAAACAGTATTTTCGATACATTCCTCTTTGGGCTCTACAATTATATATACATATATATGTGCTTGTATACACAGAATATTCTACAATAATCGTAATTAACACAATTGGTGCTTTTAAATACTATCAATTTGTTAAGTGATATCAATGAAATGACAGTTCAAGAAAGACTCTTAATTGGCTAGTGGTCGCGCTATGTCGTGAATTGGCAGAAGTTAGAATTCATGGGCCATTGGATAGGGTCCCAGTGGCTTAATGTTCTACGAGCTCGCCTTGTAACCAGAAGGTCCTGGGTTCGAACCCCGGTGGGTGCGTGCTGATGAAGAGTCCCAAACTAGGACTCCCAGGTTTTCCAGTGGTTTTCTAACCAATGTCAGCTCATGATGAAATCCACCCAACCAATCGAATCCCTACAAACCAACACTTGAATAAAGACGCTTAACTTATAATAAGCATAAAAATGTAATGGCAAATAGAATGTCAAATAAAATTAAGGAAATTTCAACAAGAAGTTGAGGATCCATAGAACCTTGATAGCCAAGATAAGTGCAGTGTCTGGACCAACTTCTTCTTTTGGATACATAACTTGGGTTTCTTAATGTACATTTCAACTACCAGCCTCAGCATTGTGCAACAGACGAACTCTTAGTGTAGAGTTAAGCTTAGCTGATATGCGGTAGATGACTTTGAAAGCCACCTTGTTAACATTTTGGACAAATTGAACGATGTGCTCGAGAATATCTCCCAGTATGGCTAAGTAAAGGTGTAGTAAAAACCATCAACAGTTCGATATTAGACCACCTGGTCCAAACCGGCCACAAAGCCAGCATTGAAGAATCTTTCTCTATCATCTACCGGGTAACAAATAAATTGCCAAAAACATCCAGGTACCGCATGCTCCAAACAGCAGAGGCTGTTACAATCCACGTGAAACAACCAGTGCTTTGTGTGCAAAAGAAGCAAGTCCAACCACTACTACTGCCCTGGCTGGCCTTCAGTAGAGACTATTTGTATTATTATCTTTCCTAATTTTCCTGACATTCAATTTATTGTTATGTTGATGCTATTGAACTGTAACCCATTGATATTATTAATTCGATTTAATTTAAACTGCATTAGTGTTGTTCATAACATTAATATATTCACTATAATGTATACATAACTGTAGAGCCTGATGATGAAGTTATCGAAAACAGTATTCTTTTTTTCAGCAACCATTCTTTTGAAAATATCCTAGGTATGTATATGTAATTGTAGAGCTGAAAGAGGAAATTATCGTAAAAAATATTTTTCTAAATCCCTAAAATTTGACGCTCGTAAGTGTTAAAAATACCACTTTTATGTGATTAAATTCCAAATGAAATCACCGAACAACTACACTTTAACTAGTCCTTAATTTTCCGAAAAATTCAGCACAGATTGGAGACAATCGGCACGACGCTTTCGACATATGTGAAATCTAGAAAGAACTCATGTTTCACCTGAGATTCGAACATAGGTCACCCAGTGTTGCAGTCAGTCAAAGAAGCTAACAGTGAGCTATTCGTGCTCACAACTGACTTCTTGTAGGATTGTATTGGATACTTTGATTGGACACTAGTTAGTAACTAATATGAAGTATCCAGTCCTTTTTTGATGGAAACTGAATTCTATCAGTCAGGTTTGCAATCTCGTCACCATGCCACTAGATGACTGGCCATTGTAAATTGTTGTTATTAGATGATTTGAGGCAATCGACAGGATGCCGTGGACCACCTGGGTTTCATGCTTGTTGTCTTGCACTTGCCAGTCAGCAAGACAGGTGTATCTGCAATCTAGAAGGCACTTGTATCCCTTCTGTGACTCGAATCCGTGCGAGTACAAGTGGAATTCGAGGAAGCAGACTTTCAAAAAACGGATTATGAATTAAGGATATGCTTTCCGAGCCCTTCTTCACCAACCTCTACAAGTATATGCCCATAACAATTAAAGAATTACTGTTATTAACAACAATAAGTTTCTTGTAAATAACATCGGTTCATCAAGATTAAGTGGATAGCAGTTCAAAACATGCATTTATGTCATAATATGTATAAATACAATACTAAATTGGTTACCAGATATATTAAGGAAAAGTAATGCAGGGTTTACGAAGTTATAGATTTCACAGAAGGCAAGAGTAGCAATAGTGGCTGGCTGAACCTGTTTCTTTTGCAAACAGAGCTCCGGTTGTTTTGAGCAGATTGCTACAACTTCTGGTTTCTGAAGTATTCGGTATCTAGAGGGCTTTGGCAATTTACTGGACACTCGATATACAATAGAGAAAGATTCTTCAATTCTGGCTTTATCGTCTGTTCAAACCGAATGATGTAAGCCTGATCTGTTAATGGTTTTCAATACACCACTAATTATGATTGGACACTAGTAACTAGTGTGACGTGTCTAGTCCTTTCTTTGGTGCAGACTGAATTCTGTCAGTCAGGTTTGCAATGTGACCACCATTCTAGGTAGCTCGCCATCATGGTGCACATTGATTTGATGATATTAGATAGTTGGAGGCCCGAATAGCTCAGTGGTAGTAACGTCTCTGACTGCAGTACTCACTGGGTGACGCGGGTTCGAATCTCAGAAGAGACATGAGTTCCTTCAAGGTTGCAGATACGCCTTGCTGACGGTGAGTGCCAACTAGCACGAAACCCATGTCCAAGCTTCCTGTGGCCGATTGCCTCCAACTATCTAATAACAAAACCACTAATTAGCCTAACTGGTAGATATTCTAGGGTAACGGCTGATATAACTGGCTCCACAGAGTCACTCGAATTAATCAGTGTTTTGAAATTTGTAATGGATGAATATTCATCGATTCCTTTACATTCCCAGTTGAATAAAGAGCTTCAAACCTTAAGCTTTGACGTTTCACTACCATTGGTGCCTTTCTTCCAGGGCAGGGTTAATATGTCCACATCCGACCTTCTCTCTTTTCCGGGTTTACTACCGGATAAGGGAGGTTTATAAGTATGTATCGGCTGGGGATCGAACCGACACCTTCCTCTTGGTCGGCGGTTATTCTACCATTTATCCAATGACGCATATGAATACCTTTAATCAAACAAAACTACACGATGATTAAAAATGTCACACACACACGCTGTTTCTTAGATAAAATTTCGATGAAACAAAGGAGGTCAAATGTAAAGCATATTATGATGTTATTTGATTTTAAGGAACACCAAATTCACTAGGTTTTGTTTTTTTTATAATGCTTATTTTCTTCAGTTGTAAATTATACATTATCCTTGTGAACTATGTTGTATAAAATTAGGTGTGATTGCTTGAACACTGTTCAAGACAATTATTAACTTTTACTACATTTAGTTGTTTTGTTTTCAACCAGTTAGTTTATTTACTTCATTTACCCCTCCCCCCTATGATATGAGTGAATTATCTTTAAAGCTTTTAAGCCTTTTAACTACTCAAATGAATAGTTTTGGAATACATAAGTAAAATAAAGTACACTAACAATAGTGTATTTTAGCGAGACACCGCTGGTGAGTCTAGATCTCATCATTGTTTCCAGTCAGTAATTCTACGGACAGTTTCTTTCTTTGAAACAAAGTTAATATCACTTGTTAAAAAAGGGTGTATCACAAAAGCAGTTTCAAAAACAATGGGTCACGTAATATTAAGAGTAGTTTGAAAAGCAGTTATATGGGGATACAGTGGAGTTTTGATATAATATGGTTGATAGTACAATTCCATTATGGGTAAAATTTATTTTGATAAACTCTCACAATGTTATACAGTTGTGGTGAGAGCTGTCTACTAGCCAAATTGGTAGACAGTAATTTACGTCAATATTTACGTTCCCAAGATTTGTCTGAGAAGTGAACAAAGATTGATTCAAAACCGACCACAGCAGACTTTGCGTAGGCGGATGCAGTTAACATATAGAGGATTTGACATTCAAGAAGCAGTCACAAATAGATGAAAGATTAACTTTACGTGAGAAACAACCAATCGGAAGACTGTGTTTGTTTGCTTAAATATCCATAGTGATGTACATGAAAATATATAAATATGCGTTGATTTCCTTAATAAATGATCTGTTGCCTGACCTTGCCTTCTGTTGTTATACAGTAATATTTACTGACGACCACGTTTCGAGCACAATTTATTGCTGCTCATAATCATATCAAGGTACTCACCTTGATATGAGTGAGACTTTATCAAAATAAATTTTACCCATAATGAAATTATGCGTCGGTGGCGTAGCGGTTAGGACGCTCGCCGACCATCACATGGTTCGGGGTTCAATCCCCGGCCACCGACGCACTCCTTTACCTCGCTAAGCCAGAAGTAATGCTGGTGAAAAGGAAAGGTTGGGCATGAGGCTAGCAACCCCATCTTGTAAAACAAACACTGCTACAGAAACTTCAAGCCAGTAGCTTGAAGCCTTATGTTCCACTGGGGAACGTGAAGGAAAAAAAAATTCACTATGATACGCTGAAGCAGTTTCATTCGAAAATGCTCAGTCAGAACTTAAGCACATGGAGTGCGTGAGTGTGTGTGTGTGTGATCAGTTGCAATTACCCTTGAAATCTCCATTTTGTTTTTATATAATACAGACTTTACAATTATCTATATTAGTGATTCAGGTTAACTGACCTAATTTCAGTCTTATAAACTGTAATTTTCTTGAATTTCTATGTAACCTTATGACCTAACACTATTTACTGTTGTTTCTGTTATCTGTCTTGTCCACCACATTTACTATTTTGAAATGCACATATAAATTGACTGATTATGGCTTGAACCAAAAATAGTGGTGCCTGCTACATTTTAGATGCTTTAATACATCACACTGATCAAGGCACTCTACTCGAACTCATGCAGTCAGCCAGGTAAGAGCCTACGGAGAGTTGTCATCTCAAGTGGTGACAACCAGTTGTTTCCGTCAGGGATGCCCACTATCCCCATTTCTATTCAATTTCATCATAGATGTACTAATGGAGTTAACCTTAACTGCTGACTTCAGCGACTCAGACATTGACTTGTTACCAGGGAATAATCTCGTTGACTTAGAATATGCAGATGATATAGTCCTTCTAGGTGAGGACGCAGACATAATGCAGAGTCTTTTGAACACCTTGAGCAGCGAGCAATCTGCGAATGTTTGGCATGAGACTCGCTCCTGCTGTCAAATGTAAGATGATGCTACACTACAGGACTGACTGGACTACATTGACTCCTAGCTTAGAAATAGGGAGTGAAGTGTTTGATGGAGCGTATTGACCACTTCACTTATTTGGGAAGTTCCATCAGCCAGCACCAACAGGCTGATCACTAACGACACCTCAGCAAGGATATACAGAAGGCTTGTTTCGCATTTGCCAAATTACGCCACCTCTGGCTTAGTGAACGTGATATCCGGCTGGCTGTCGACCAAAGGACGTGTGTAATGCTCAGCAGCTCGCTGCGTCCTCCTCTATGGCTGTATGACATGGTCACTGAAAGTGGAAGACATGATGAAAAGGTTAGCTGTCTTTGATCACAGGTGTCTCCGTCCTATCTCCTATAATTTTTAGGTGGTATAATACGGTGAGCAATACTGAAGATGTTAGGCGTCGAGTGCTAGGTAAGGAGGAGGGGAAGCTACATCGATTGAGATGGTTAGGACATGTGTTACACATGCCTAGCTATGGATCGCCTTCCTCGACAGACAACTGGAACTGCTGCACATCTGTGCAAAATTCTGTGTTGAAACCCTTAATTTCTGCTATTATCCCTGCTATCAGTCTAACATTGGAGTATGGTATTTCCGGGTTTGACCACGAATCGATATCAGTTACAGAACCACTAAAAACCACGGCTGTTTCGTCAGTCTAGTTTGGGACTCATCGGCACTACACATCCACCCTACTTGAGTCCGAACTCACGAATTTCAGGTTACAAGGAGAGCTAGCTCGCAGACCATTCAGCCACTCAATGACCAACCGATGAAGTCTGACTTCTACTCGTCCTGTGATCGGAGGATCCTGGGTTCGGACGCTTACGGTTGGTGTGTGTACTGGCGTTGGGTTTGAAACCAGACTGACGAGAAAGCTGTTCAGTACTCCCTGTAGGCTTTCAGTGCTTCTCTAACGGATATCGATCCCTATAAACTAACACTTGAGAATTTGTTATTTTAATTCTTTTTTGAACAATTATAATTTCGAGCAATCTGCAGCTGATGAGGACCTATGAAATGAATTGATGTCATTTTATTCTGCACATATGCTCTCTCTACCTTTATCGAGAAAAAAACAAGAATGGCTCTAGATCCTTTTTAAAGAGCTGTGCTGAGATATAAATTCTCAAGTTCTGCTTTGTTAGCATTACCCGTTGACATTAGTTGGAGAACCATTGGTAACCAAGGAGCATTGGGCAGCTGTTTCGTCTTAGTTTGTAACTCTTCAACAATACACACTCATGACCAACTGGGGATTGAATCCAAGTCTTCTTAGGTTACTAGGCAAGAGATGACATAAGTGCTGTGGTCATGCAAGACTATCATGCAGGAACTGATTTACATTAACCTTGAGTTGTACGACAGATAAGAAGTAAGAGATCAATAGTTATTTTGTTGTTTAATAATTTTTGAACAGTAACAATACACTTACTTCATTCCCTTTGTCTTTTTCTCTTTCAGCTAATTGTTTTCTTGTATGAATTGGCATATTAGACACTCTGGCGGCTAGTTCCTTGTAATCAAGTTTGTGTAATCCACGTGTTTCAGCAGTGGATAAATTCATAGTTTCACCTTTTTCAGATCTGCTCATTGTCTTCTCGTGTTCTCCTTCTTCTGCTAACTCTTTATCCCAGACTTTCTCCAACCTTGAAGGAAGATTGTTAAAAAAATACTGAAAATTAGAATTTATGCACTTTTTTTTTCTAAGTTATCAGTATTCATATTTTGGAACTCATAAGGATCTCAGTTAAGCGTAATGTAGACTTCAGCATGAACTGAAATTAGTTAAAAGAAGTGGTGAACAGTTGTTTTGTCTTCAGTTTGGGACTCTTCATCAGCCCAAACCTGAGATCGGACTCAGGACCTACAGGTTACAAGGCGAGCCAGCCGAACATTCATTCGACCATTGGCTTGGAACGGCGTAACCTGTAGATTGTTCGTGATACGTATCTAATTATCGAATCTCTGCTGTTCACTTATGTGATATTGTGCATCTCGATCACATAACTGTCTATCAGTAGTACGTGTCCATCAGGGGCTAAATCCAGGAGGTTCATGTTATGAGCGTCGGTGGCACAGTGGTTAGGACTCTTGCCAACCATGAACATGGTCCGTGGTTCGATCCCCTGCAGATGCACACCTAATATCTATGGTCGGCCTGCAAAATTTGGGCTACCGATATCACATGCTGAAAATTCCATACCTGTACCAAAACATACGGTGTGGAATCAAGCTGTAGTCAAAAATAAAAAATAGTCATATCACAAAAACGGGGCAGAAATAGCCTTAGAACAACAGCACACGAAAGAAGCTGTATACAAAAGAAATAATCACAACAACCAAGCGACAGTGCCATCCTTGTATCATGTGGAGAATACAAGACAGGTGTTTGATGCGTCATCTTTCAGACGGATGGATGTCAACTGACGAAGACTAAAAGGAAAATCTTCTGAACAATGTATTAAGAACATTTCTGAAATCACTACTAGAATACTGAAACTATTGGAATAGATGCTGACAACAAGTGAAAAAAACAATCACTCCACTCCATATAATTAATGCAGTTCAAAATATGCAAAAGGAGTAAAAGAAGTCAACATCAATTGTAAAATAAATTCCATCGACTATGAGAAAGAAAACACCATACCAGCAAAAGCGGATGCCCAATTAGTATCTACCGTGACATGTATCCCTAATTATCCAATGAACATTAATTAAACTAGGAAAGTTTTAGACATCTTAAACAGAGTTAACATAGAGAATATCAGGGAATTCCTGGAAGTCTAGTGTTCAGATCAACTTTCGATCTACAGTCATCATTTATTATTATCATTATCATGATTATTCCCTTGGCTTCAGAGTGGGACATGGAGCCTCAACAGCACATATCCAATTTATCCTATTCCTTACGGTTCTCTTCACATGACCCCATCATTGCCCATAGTCTCTGATCTCCTTCTTGCACGATTTCTTCCATATCAACCGAAGACCCAAGCCCGAATCGTCGTTTTCTATCTGGGTTCCACTTAAGTGATAGCCTACATAAAGCGATGTCATTCTGCGGTCCCCTCAGTAGCATGTGTCTGATCCATCCCCATTTTCTTCCACATATTCGCCTGTTGAACAACAGGTTACTGGTTGGTTCATTCCAGTAACTTCTTGTTGCCAGTTCTTTCTAATTGGCCATCTAATCTTCAATATTGAGCCAGAAATGGGGGAAGTTCTTGATAAAAGTCTTCAGTAGCCTATCGGAAATGCTTTCCGTGACGCTTGCGTCAAATTTCTGATCCAAATAGAACAAGTGACTGACTGACTTAACATTGGTGTTGAACGGAATGTAAATTTTGTTGTTTATTCTGAGGTTCAGTGGAGGTGATTGCGAAGTGATGAGGGTCAGTCTTGTCTTTCCGATCCTGGTTTTGACATCCCCATCTGTGCTGCTTGCCTGCAGTTGAAACGATTTTGCCTAGCCAGATAAGTGAAGGAATTAACCTCTTTCAAATTTCTGCCGTTGATAGTGATTGATGCTTGTTGTTGGTGGTGATTGGTTGTTTTCATCATCTTCGTCTTCTTTATGTTCATCGCCTAAAGTCCTGTCCTTGAATCAGCAGACACACTGATGTCAGTCAAATTCACGAATCAAAAGATCATGCATCTAGTCAGTAGCAATGCAAGTAAACACAATGATGAAAACCTCTTCCAGCGCAAGCAATAGACAGTCAGTTTCATTATAAATCACAGTTATTATTTACCTCATGGATTACACTAGAGATGTTCATTTCATTTTGCAGACAGTGATGAATATGTCAAACTATCCAGTGCAAGAAAGGTGATGAAATAAAAAGAGTCTTGATACATTCAAGTTGTCTAAATGGTTGTAGGCGAAGTGTTATTCGTCAATTTATATACTACACCACATACTTTAATCTTCCGTTATTCAGATTTTAGATTACAAGGTAAATAATAACAGCGTTGGTAACGGACCATTTTTATTAAGGAAAAGCACATCATATCTACACATTTTTAGCCACGCCCAAGGTCGGTCAGGTGGTCAGCGGATAATCAACTATTCTGATTGGCTGTTAATTTTCTGAAGGTTAAACCTTTAGATGAACAATTGCCCAATGAGATTATTTGCTGACAATAATGAAAGCCGAAACCAAATTTGAGGAATAAACACTTCTGCTTCTGTATCCATTGGCTTAAAATGTTTTTTTTTAAATTTTGGTTACACCCTATCAATCTGAATTTATATACTACCGATAAATTTCGTCAGTATCACACGCCACAACGGCTGTTCTACGTATTACTTCTTAAAGGTAGTCAGAACACAAGTATCTTAGGTCGATAACTTATCTCTCTCTCTGAAACAAAATTAAGGACTCTACAACGTACTTTATTTAAATAGCTTGAAAATAAATGTTCGTCTAGATTAGGTATGAATACAATAAGTTCCTCTCGTTGTTACGTCTGCAGATTGTTGAACACATCACTTTTCAGCTTCGTTTTCCTAATCATGAATGAAGCTATTTTTTTTCTCAACAATCATGGATAGTTTAATTAACCTTTGTATGGAGGATACATTTGAACAATCCATGCATGAATAGCTTCAGTCTTTCCACTTAGAATCTTGGAAGCCACTAGAAGGTGTACTGAGGCAAAAGAGAACTCTTATTTATTTCATTAATGACTTTGAACCTTCCAGTTATTTAGGTTAATGGTATGTTTTTAGGCTATAAGTCAAATTCACAATTTGAGAATCCGTTCGGTAGCGCCACTGATGAACTCGGGCACAAAACGAGCAAACAAGATGTCCGGTGCTTAGGTCACATTGGACTGGCTGACAAGCAAGCACTGCTGGTTTAACGACAGAAGACAAGGGCCAAGCAGTAGATCGTTTATTGAGAAAATCAACAGATATTTATAGATTTTTATGTACATTATTATTCGTTATTGTTAGCAGAGAAGCAACGTCTTCTGATTGGTTGTTCTCCTGCTGAAGGTTATTCTGTCATCTCTTTGTTGCCGTTTCTTAGACAGTCCGGTCATATATCTGTGAATCGTATCCGCCCACGCTAAGTCTGCTGTGATTGGTTGTTGAGTTCCTCAAGGTTAGGCTTTGTTCTTGTTTTTTCTCATGACCAAGATTTAGGACGTAAACATTGACGTAAATTGGTGTCTACAATTTTGGCTAGCAGACAGCTCTCAGCACACTGGTTGACATGGGGGTATGCAACTACTCAATAATCTCAATCAATCAGTAGTACATATTTTTATTTTCTAGGCTATTCAAACATATCTGAAAAATTTTTCACTCATAAATCTATTTTTAAAATATTATTTGAATTAAAGTAATGGTTTCAGGTGTAACTAGAACTCGGAGTGAAAGTCATAACAATTTCAAAGCACAAGTGCCTGTCCCACTGAAGATACATTTCTATCTTCATACAATAAGATTTGATGACTCCGTGATCACACATACTACTTGCACTACTTTTTCACAAAGGGTCAAAGTTCAAGTCAAAGAAACAATCAGTTCTAATACAAGTAGCCTAGAAGGTGTGAAAACACACAAAAACAACCAATCACGTCCAAGGTCACCGGGAGAGATGATTAATAAACTCGTGGAGAAATCTAAAAGCTCACTTGAAATTGAAGTATGCGCTGAAGATGTCACCTAGTAGGGTGATGAAAGCTTCGCAAATTAACTATCCAGCTCAGCGAACACAACCACATCAAAATCATCCACCTGAGCTACAAATCCCCATCATATCTCAATCAACAAGTTTATAGAGACTGAATATTGATGGAGAAGATTTGTAGTTTCGATGGATGACTTTGATTCAGTTGTACTCTCTCTCCCTCTCTGAGGCGGTTGATTTAATTGCCAAGCTTTAATTGTCCCCCTTCCAGACAACATCATCAGCACAAGTTTTAGTATGGAATAAATTTATTTATTTTTGATTACAGCTTGATGCCACACCGTCTTTTCAGTACAAGTATGGAATTTTCAGCATGGATATCGGTAGCCCAAATTTTGCAGGCCGACCATAGATATCGGGTGTGACTCGGCATGGGATCGAACCCCGGACCATGTGCATAGTCGGCGAGAGTCCTAACCACTGTGCCACCGACGCACTATTTGATTCATTTCTCCATGAATGATGATATAGTTGTATCTCCTAGAGACAACAGCTGTGACTGGTTGCTAATTTACGTCTCTATTGATCATTTGTATTGACTTGGAGTTCGAACTTTCTTGTCAAGTGGTTTACTTTTCATTAGCTGGTAAATTTGGACTACAGTAACTGGTGTATTTGTTAATTGCTATTTGAGTCACTTGATTACCAAGCTTTTGGAAATTCCCTGACAGCACTTTCGCTGTTACCATTTTTTAAAATTTCTACATTATCTCAATCAAATGGTGTCCATATTTGTCCACATTAATTGATATGAAAGAATACAACATATCATGTCTTTTTACAGCTAATTTGTGTTCTTGTATTCGAAGGAGACGCCCACTTTGACCGATGTAATGTCTATTACAGTTCATACATGCAATTTATGCTGATTGTGCTGGCTGGCTGGCCTGTATGCTATATCTGTTTCAAACGGTCTTAATATTCTAGCTGTTATTTCAGAGATATTTTTTATATGCGGTAGGATGAATTTTCTTGTAGTCTTTGGTGGTGGTTTCTTGTTGGTGTTATCACTTTTTATTAAGCACTTTATGGTGAAATTGTGAGGATATTCATTCTTCTTGAAGACAGTCAGTAGGTATTTGTCTTCCTAGCTCTTCAGCATTGGAGTGTAACAATGTGTTTAAACTCTTTTAAACAAATTCTACACACAGTTTCATTTGTGGGTTATTGGGTTATTTCTATTATAGCTGAGTGTTTGATCTGTGTACGTTGATTTTCTATACACTTGAATTTCTTAGTTAATTGTAGTAGTTCTCTTGATAAAGACATTTAAGAATGAAATTCCGTTCTCTAATTCTTTTTCTCTCGTGATGAATTTAATCTCTTTAAATATGTTATTTATTCATCTGTAGATGTATGCATTCCAAATCACATTCCTTTTAATTATCTCAGATGTATCATCAATGCGATGTACCCAGATTTTTGGTTTAATTATAGGTAGAGCTATTAATTCTAATCTTTGCATAACACAGATTCAGCTATTAATCTTGATATGGACGATCTCTTTGATGTTCCCTTTTATCTTTTCGTATATTTGATCATTGAATAGGAAGTATGTTGTAAGACATAATTCTATGAGTTTTAACTGCGCTGAAGATGCTGTCTATAAGGACGACGAAAGCTTCGCAG